AAACTGAGACATGGCTAACTAGAGCAGCATTTACATCTTGTATGGTTAGTGAGTAAAAACAGGGTATGGGGACAAAGCTAAAGATAAAAATGCACCTTAACAATAATGGCGCAAATATAAGTGGAGAGAAGCTCCAAGTGAAGTGCATGCAGCAGAAGACGGTAATCCCAAGAAGGAATTGGCCATGATCCTAAAGACAATAATATGTAATGTACCTCTCTGTTGTAGACATAGGCTTCCTGAGAATCTACTCTGATGGCTAAGTATTCTTGGGAGAGGTATGCTGATTAGCTTCTATCACCACATTCACTAAATTTGCATTTATGCTAACCTGTATTGTTAGGGCCAAAGAGAACTTCAGAAATTACCTATAATTCAATTCATAGTTAAAATATTGGGAGCAGGAGTATAGCTCAGTCACACAGCCCTACTTGGCAAACACAAGGTCCTGAGTTTGAGTTTGATTCCTGGTATGAAAAAAAGAAAAAAGAAAAGAAAAGAGAACTAAAAAGAATTGATAGCAAAGGACATGGGTCTTGAGATTCTTTGGCCTTGGTACTGAATATTGCAGGGCTGTAATTTTTTATATATCCCATTATTTCTTTTATAAAATTAAAAAAAACTTTTATCATTTGGTACAGAGTCTCACTACACCTCAGACTTGTAATGACACTCTTGTCTCAGCCACGCCAGTGCTGGGATTACAGGCACATGCCATCACACCCAGTTTTTGTGGCCAGCTCGGCTCAGGGCCAGCACAACATGTGGTACCAGGGATTGAACCTGGGCCCTTGCACTTGCCAGGCAGGTGCTTAGACTGCTGAGCTATCTCCCCAGTCCTCTCCCCATTATTTCTTTAATACTTGGTTCTTCCCCATCCCCTAGCAAAAAGAGACTGAAAAGAATAAAAAGATATGAATGGAAGGTCACTGGAATGGATGGAAAGAAGTTTCTCAACAGCTCCTGACTTTACCTTCTCTTGCTTCCCGCAACCACAGGGGAAGTTCCTTAGGACTTCACCAGTCCTCTGTGGGAAAATATCTTCACTCTTGGTACCCTAGTGACTTTGCACTATCCACACAGGTCCCACAGGCAGACTTGAACTGAAGCTCATCTCAGTATTCGCAGTGTGTTTGAGATGGGAGCTGCCTCAAGGCCAACTCCTACTTGCCCTTTTATCTCCCCTACTGGTTGGCATGAATCAGTTTTTGCCTCCACTCTCTGGTTTCTGTTGGGATACTAGGCTTCCTGAACTATGTCCCTCAGAATAGAGGTACAGATTAAAAGCTGCTTGGCTTCAGTCCAGAAGTGGCTTCCTAGCAATGGGATATCCCACCGCTTATGTGATAGTCCTCTGGCTTTATGTTTCTGGGTCATCTTTTTAGATGTTTGAGACAAAGGATACTAGGAACTGGAACTTTGTGGTGCTGGGAATGCAAACACACTTGCAGCCCTTTTTCTGAAACAGGATCTTGCTGAATTGCTAACTTGCCCAGGCTGGGCTTGAACTTGTGATTTTCCTGCCTCAGCTTCCTAAAGTGCTAGGATCACAGGCATGCATCACTACCCTGGCCTAGGGACTGGAAATTTTTTTCATTAGGGATGAAACCTAGGGCCTTAATACTAAGATATACCCCCAAGAACTGGAAGTTTTGACTGCTTTGTCTCACTGTATAAAAAATAAACTCTTTGAATCTAAGAATGACAGTGTATCTTTACCTTCTGAATCAGCCAGGCTTTACACTTAACTCTGCCTGGTATGCCTGATGGCTGCTTACTATTAATTTCTCATTCCTGGTATATTAAAGCACCCTCATCATCAAAGGAGTTGAACAAAAATGTACAGGTAATATTGGCTTTTTCCTGCCACTGTATAACAAAGGGAACATCAATCCTGGCTTCATTTATTGAGATTTTAAGTTTGCCTAGAGAAGTAGCAGGTTTTCTTTGCACTCTGCATATGAGGCCAACCCTGTAAGACAGTAGGATTGGCACCTGAATTACATTATTTGAAAGCTTCTTCTTGGTTCAGAATATAGCCTCTACATGCCTTCTAGCCCATTGCTAGATGACCATTCTAAACCTGAAAGTACAAAGCTTTCCCTCAATCTTTCACTCCTGCACTAGAAAACCAAAGCATTGTCTCTAGAAGAACCTTCAAGTTGTTACCTAGTAACATAAGTAGTTGGGATTTTTCTCCACACTTCTCCATTAGAATATTATGGATAACAAATTTAATAGTTCTTTTTATGGTCTCAGCACTCTCAGGCTCCTCCTACAGGCCAGATATTGAACAGCAAGTCAGTGCACTTGCTTCTGGTCCCATTTTGACCTTAAGCAATGAATTGCTGCAGCACAGGTAATTATTTGTTCTTCCTTAATTTCTAGTGTCTGGTCCAGGATTGAAATTGGATGTATCATGTTTCGTTGGACCCCACACCTTAATTTCTTTGGATCTTTAGACTGTATCCTACTCCTGAAATCAAAGTGCTCATGATTGGATCTTGAGTTTCAGACCTCCTAAACCAACTCTACTCACCTATCTACCTATTATATAATTGCTGTTTCCAAGTCACACACCCAGTTCCAGTGACTCATGACAATCTTCCACTTAGCTCGCCCCCAATTAAACTCCAGTGAGAAACAACCAAGAACTCATGAATACATATATATTTATTTAAGTCATAATATAGCATTTGGGATGGACTGGGATATTTCTGAAGAGGGATGAGACTGTGTAATACACAGACATTCGTATTTCTGTCACCAGGAGAGACACCATTGGTCGAAATCTCCTAGTACAAACAAGCCTGGGGGTAAAGCATTTGATAAAAAATAGTTCAACAATAATCTAATAAATATTCTAGCCAATAACAATAACACAGCATATGTCTAAGGCTGGCAGACCACATCATAAAAGGCAGTTTTGCCTGACCTGATGGCAGTAAGTCTGGCCAACTTGTCATATGGCCAAACACAGCTCAATGGCTCCAAGGCTGCAATTGGCTACAGGAGCTAAAAGTGTGGGAGTGGTTCACATCTACCTGCCTCATAGTCTCCAATCCTTGGGAAAAGGGTATCAAATGTTTGAGCTTATTCATAATTTTCTCCATGGATTGCCATATCCAGGTAGTCATGTACAAATATGTAAACCATGGAAGCTTAGAAAATTCACCTAGACTCTTTAGGCTGAATAGAATGTATAAGTGATTTTGCTGCAATCTGCATTTCACTGCATCTGAAGATAGACAATGGAAATCCATAATAAAAACACAATGAGATGCAGTTACTGGTATTTAGAAGTAGTCAGAATCTGAATGTGGCATTAAGTTTTCTTTCATAGTCTTGAAACAGGTTTCATTTGTGCTTTCTTCAATAAGACAATATAAAAAGTGAGAACACGCATACACCGCAGACAGAAAATAATTTTCTAGCAGGGAAGACAGTAAAGCAACAAAAGCTTATGGAGTCACCTTTCTTGCAGATGTCAAAAACATTTTGTAGTCCCTCTGTGCAACTGGGTTCAGATAGAGAGAGCCAGTGGCTCCTCTTAAGGTCCCTGACATTGTCAGGACTCTATAATTATAAAGTCTCAAGTTTGCTGAATTAAATATCTGAAACTCGCCACACTCCTATTGAGTACTCTGCAATTCTATTGCATCTGGAAATCACTTCATTACTTGGCTCAAGTTGAGACTTTAGAGTTCAAGTTCATCATTTACTTCAAACCCTGTTTAATTTCCCAGTCTACTCAACAGGCTGAGCTGTGAGTGATTTTTTTCCTATAGTCAAAACTTTAATGGATCTTCAAAGAACAAAGTGTGGAAACATTGAAATGTTATTGAAGAGAAGGGTGCTACATCTTTAAAGACAATTCCCTAAGATAACTGTCAAAGAGTTTTTGAGAAGAACAGTGCTCCTTTATATGTATGAACTCTGGTACATTTGTAAAATAATATGAACACACCAAGCAGAGTACTAACCAAGCTTTCCTGCCCAGGAAATAACAAATGTCACTGTGGACATCCATCAGAGTACAAGAGAGAAACTTGATTATTCATTTGTTCATTCATATATTCATTCAACAAACATTTGCTAGGGAACTACTCTGTTCCAGACATTGTGCCAGGTATTTAAAGTACAACAACAGTAAAAGACATTCTTGTCTTCAAGGTATTCCCAGTCTAGAAGAGAAGATAATTATTATACATTAAATTTTTGTGTGCAAAAGAATAACCTGAGAAGCTTGTCAAAATGTAAATTTTACCTATTTTTCTAAATATTCTAATTAAATAGATCTAGAGTCGGGTCCAGGAATCAATTATTCTAACAAACAAATCATCAAAGGTGATTCTAATGTATGTGTTCTGAGGACTACATTTTGATAAAACTCTGTTACACCATGAGATTATTGCTGAGAAAGGGGGCTGTTTAGGTCAACATGGGAGCTCTAAAGAGGAACATCTAACCCAGGCTAGAAATCTAATCCAGGTCAGGAATTAGTCTGGCTGAGAGAGGCAAGGATGGGCATACATAGTCCACCCCAGATTCAAAAGTAGGAGAGAGAAATTAAATTTGTCCTAGAACACTAAAATTTAAAGGACACAAAAATAAATGAATGGCTTTGGGGAGGAGATTAATATCTGGCACTTACTAAATGCCAGGTGCCATGCTAGGCACTTTACATATGATTTCTTTCTAAATCTTTGAAACAGTCTTGTGGAGTAGGTATTATTTTATGGAAGAGGTAAATGTTCAGAAGCGAAGTACATGCTATAGGTCACACTGTTAGTAAATGTCAGTGAAACTTAATGCTATAAACTGTTTAGCAGTACTGCTGAATCTTACTGAGCTTGGCAGCATGTACTTATGGTCTTTAAAGCTAAAAAAAAAAACCCTGACTTTTCTATTCCATATAGAAATTAGAGCTTTTGTTTGGTATTCCCAGAATTTCTCTGCATCAATCTCAATTTCCATGTTGAGTGAACAGACAATATGTAACTGTTATTGGGCAGGATTTATTTAGATATTTTCTGTTCTGCAAAATAGTAAGTTATTTAACAGCAAAGACCATGTCTTAGTAATGCATCCTCACAGCAATAAGGTGAAACCTGTTCATTGAACAAATTAATAAATGAACATCCACTAAGCTGGTGGCAAGGAAGAGGGAAGATTCTGAAATTATTTGAAGGCTTTAATATAGGGGGGCGCTATAGGTACCACTCCATAATGTTAATGTCATCACAACTCCTTCCACTGTGCTGATGAGTAGGAAGATTCTGTCTACTTTTGCCGTGAAAGGGTTCCTAAGTAAATGAACAATGTAAACAAGATTGCAAAAATATAAGCATTTAACTTATTCAGGAAAAAAAAACTGTTCAGACATTCTTAAGCATTTTGGAAGTGTTTTATGAGAAAATACAAGTACATTCATAAGTAAATAGTTGCTGCAAATATAACCCTCCATTCCTACTGATGAAGTAAAGCAAGTTCCTAAAGAAATTGAATTGTGCAACTCCATTTTTAGCCTAATTCTGGTAACTCTTTTTGAGTAAATGATAAAACTGTATTTCTTGAAATGTTTTATGACTGAATTTTTAATAATGCAGATGGACTGCTTCCATTAAGAGGTATCAATCAAATTGTGCTATATAAGATACTTCTACCTGTACCAGTTTTCTGTCTAGCCATAACATCTCTTGTGCAATCTTGTTCCCAAATGTCCTATTCAGTCACAAGTTAGTTCTTCTTATGGTCTAATTTCAACTGCATATGAATGAATGTATAGTAAGGGGGAAGAAGGGAAGGTTAAAAGGGGGAGAGATCTTGAATTTTTTAAGGGATTGAACCCAAGGCCTTTGCACTAATCTACATACCCAGTCCATTTTTATTTTTATGTTCTAAATTTTGAGACAGTTTCATTAAGTTGTTCAAGCTGGGCCCAAACTTAGAATCTTCCTGCCTCTGCCTCCTAGAGTTCTGATTATGGCATGGGCTATCATGCTCAATTTTGGTTGATTTTGATGTTTCCTTTAGGGGACAAAGATAAATATTGTAATTTATTTTCTCTTCCAATATATTTCTTACTCAAATGAGCAAATTAAAAGTGTATTATGTACATATATATTATATGTAATGTATATACATACATGTACATATTATGTAATATATGTACATATATATAATATATACAATGATTGAATTATTTTAATGAATTCAATTTGATGAATAAGTTTTTATGAATTCATCTTAATGAATAAATTCAATCTTTTTATATATTATATATATACACATTCATGATTTTCCTACAATGTGTGATAATCTGACACTCTTCAAAATTCTACTTGGCCAAACTGGACAGTACTAGAGGCTGACCACCCTTGTCCTTTCTGACTGGTTAGCCCTTTTTAAAAAGCTTCTTTCTGTATTATTCACCCAGCATTGCCCTAGTTCCTTCCAAAATCATTTATACTCCTAAATTACTGCAAATTTTTAATTTTCCAATGACAATAGAGGCATTTTCTACATTTCTGCTCCAATGGCTTGAATTTAGATGACTCAGATAATTTGCTCTGAAAACTCAATACATGAATTCAAATATAAGCCTCAATGCACAAAAATTAAATCTATAATATCTAGTTACTTTGGATGCTTCAAATGAACTTTATTTTGTATCTTGTATATTGAACACTAACTGAGTTTTAAGAAGGGAAGCACTGCTAAACTGGATAGCCAGCGAAGTATATTCCTTCTTGAAACTTAATGGCAAGCTTTCATCCCAGAAACATATGGAGATTCTTGAGGCCTGCAGTTGCATTCCTGTCGCTCAGGGTAATCAATAAAATCTGGGGCAGGCAAACCAGACAAGATCATTAGGGATTTGTTCCAGATTGTGAACGTTGGACAAACTGGAAGGATGAAGGTCACATCAAAAGTATGAAGATGGAGAGAGTTAGCCGGGTCGTAGAAAGACAGCATGTTGTTGTCATAATCCAGGAGGACACCCAGACGTTTCAGCTGTGGGGGCACATCCACCAGCATTTCCTTATTGTTATGTCTCACCACGAAGTTACTATTGCAGCGAGAGAAGACCCATGAGGAAGCATTCTTGCCAATCCATTCGTTCTTTGGAGCTGATTTGTAGGCAATACCAATTGCATACCTGTGAAACAGTAAAAAGGAGGGAGAAACAGAAACCATATAGAATATATAAGAAATAGAGGGGCCGGGGAGATGGCTCAGTAGAATAAGCGCTTCCATGGCAAGCGCAAGGGTCTGAGTTCAATCTCCAGTTCCGAAAAAAAAAAAAAAAAAACATACATACCTTCCTTAAATAGTTTACATGTAAATATATAATAATGATATCAAATAGAGCTTTAAAAAGTCAGCAGAGTGAAGAAGTAGTTTTTGTCCCCTAGTCCCATATATTTGCTATGACTTTATGGAAAGGACTGTTTTTCATCACGTACTTTTTAACTTCGATGTATCTGTATTATGATTGTGAACTTACTAAGAACCTAATAGCAAAGTAGATAAGAGGAAATAAAAATGAGATTCACTCACCATGTTGAGGAACCCATGACTACTTCCCAATAATGGCAGCCACTGTCAATGAATATATTTCCTGCTGCCCCATAGCATCCTGTGCCACTAAATCTCTCTGGGGTGTGGCTTTTCTTCAGAGAACTTTCATCCTTCTCCATCTGCAATCCATCATTGGAGATCTTCAACTTTCTGTGAGTCATTTTGGGATCCAGCTTAAAGGGTTGACCTGAAAAAAAATTAAAAAACAAAGAAGCATGATGAAGTATTCAGGGAATTACATTTTTTGTGTTCCAGGACCATTACTAGAAGGGGAACCCATGATCTGATGATCATTCTTTGGTTAGTGTGAGTTGGCTACTATGTAGATTAGATTAAGGAAGTAGGTCAGAAGCCATAGTTTTCAATTAAGTAAGAATAGAGCTGAAGTCAATCTCCTATAAAATAACTTGCATGGAGACATTTATGTTCTCACTGTGGGGAAAAATGTGGATTTCTCATACAAGTATTTTTTCTGGAAATCTTATTCCAAGCATAGAGGAGGTAGTAAGCTGCGCCTCCACCATGTAATACCAAATTAAAACAGGGCTCTCCAAGTCTAATGTCCACAATCATGTTTTGTACTTCACTTTTATTTTAGTAGGTGGCTTGGGACTTGGGTAGCTAGTAGAGTAAGGAGTATTATGATGTTTGAAATGGGGCAAAGCCAGGGGTATTTATGGGGTAATTGCTGCTTGGTGATGGAACAAAAGAAAAAGAAAACCTGAAAAGGTCTCAGCAAGAGAACAAGTTTTTGCCCTCTTAAAAATAGCATGTAAATAATAAAATTACAAAACTTTGCTAGAGAGACTGTTCTATCATTGATGAGCAAAGAAAACATTTAATGTGTAGGAGTATTCACAGCACAGTATTCCTTTTAACTGTATGACAAAATCATTGTCACCAGCAGCCAGTTGCTGAGTATCACAAAAGCTTTCTCAAAATTATTTTGTGACACACACTGTTAGCTACCACAATGCTTATTTCCTGCTTTTTCTCTTATTCAATCTCCCTGCCTTCCCTGTTGCTAGGGATGACTAACAAGATGAGAGTAGAAATCAGAGTGGCAGAAGCCTCCAGAAAGTTTTCCATTTTTCTCTTTTCCAAGGAACAACTCTTTTTCTCCACTGTCTTATCTTGAAAGGAGATACAGGGTGTAGAGGTTGCAGATGCCATCTTGCCACCATATGGCAATAAGCCAGTGCACAAATGGAGGAAGAGCCTGTGCCTTTTAGGATATCACAGAGCTGCTGCACTAGCCCTGAACTGCTCACCTTTAAGGTTTTTGCTACATGAAAGCAAAAGCATAAGGGAAAAAACACTATTTAATAGTTTTAACTAAAAACAACTAATTGATGCTTGTTTTAAAGTTGTTGATTGTGTTCCCTGTTATTTGCAATGAAATGTATTTTTAACTGATATGGCTTTTCTGCAGTAAAGCTTTCCTAGATTATCACACATAGTTCTCTTTTATTTAGCTATTCTCCAAAGCACAGAGGTGTAGACCAGAGGAAAATCCTTCACTTAACATTCTCCCAAGCTACAAGGTATTTTATGTATCCCAGTAGTCACACATCTCCCATGGACACTAGCAGATTCCCTGCCCAAAGCATGAGCTATAAGAGTAAAGCTCTTCTGCCCCTTGCCCCTGCTATCATGCACTGTTGTAGGTGTCTGCTTGGGCTAAGTGTCCTCTCTGGCACAGAGAGAGCAACAGATCTTTCCTTTTGGAATCACCACAACATACTGTTTGTTTTTAGTCGGGTAGGTTCACTGTTCCGGCTGCCTGCTTGGTTAATGGCTTTAACAATGAAGATATAGCGGGTCCCACTCTGCAGTCCATGTACGGTATAATGGTTTTGTTTAATATTGGGCACAATCATCCAGCTATCCACTGAGTTATACAGGCCTGTAAAGCAGGGAAAAACAACGATATCAAACAACAGGTAATAGCATGGAAAAAACCCACCAAAAATTAAATCATGAGCCCCAGTGAATTCATTTTATTTTACCTTTAGAAAGATGACTCATTGTAATGAAATGAACCTAGATTTATTATTTCACTGCTTGTTTTCTTCCATACAACTAGGATCCTCATTTCCAGCAATGGAGGAACTAGCAAAATTTACTATTTTTGGCTACTAGCAAAGGTAAGGTTACATCAATTTTTTGCCAAATAATACAGAAATGGCTACTATATCACATCAAAGAATCATCACTGTTACAGGGTCTCTAAATCTTTACCCCAAATTTCCATTCCTCTGAAAGCTGATCTGGCCTTGTGTGGATGGAACAGCCTTGTGCAGAGCACAGAAACATGAAAACTCGGTGAAAAAAAGCCACATGGATATTTAATGTCCTTCATTTTATAAGTGGGATACTAGGCTAGAAAGAAGAAGAGTGACTTTCCCAAGGCCACAAGTAGTTGGTGATGGGTGCTGAGAACAGAACCCTGGTCCAAGTCCCTGGTCTTCTAATCCTAGCCCAGAATTCTCTCTACTATATCACAAAGTCATAGTGTGAATGGCAATGTTCCTTTATCTTTACAAGATAATGAGGCTTTCAAGACTCGTGACTCCACTATTCCACCCTATTTTCTACCTTACTTCCCGAATATGTTTGGCTGGAACATGTATGCTATAGAAAAGCCAAGGAGATAACATGATAAAAGGAAGACAATATCTCCTCACTGCACTTACACATTTTTACCCCTTTCTAACTCTGACTCATATTCCTCTGGAGTCAGGTGGTCTAGGAAAACACTGTTGACTGGAACCTTTTTCCTTTCCACATAGGGAAAGAGATCAGCAATGTAGGCTTGTACTTTTGAAAGCCCTTAGACCATAAATATTGGCTTACCCAAGGGAAATATACATAACTAAAAACATGCATTTGGTTAGATTTTTGTAAAAGAGGGAGCAACATTCTCATCTGTGGATTATCTAGATTTGTCTCTTCATTCAGCTACTTTTCATGCAGTTTATTTCTTTTTAACCATATTTCTACCAGAGAGTGGAAAGAAAAGGGAAAGGAAAGAGAGCAGTGAATATAGTCACTTCTATGCAGCTCTAGTAAAGGTTGGAATTTGGAAATAATAAATCATGTGTTCTCTGCAAATGAGATCTGATCAAATGATTTAACAGCTACTTTGACAAAAGCAGAAATAGCCTAAAGTAAAGCTACAAAAATAAGTATAATATAGACAAACAGATTTGTTATAGAAAGAAAAACAAGAATGTAGAGATGAATAGTGATTCTCATGAAAAGACAATAAGAATAAGTCCAGGAACAATGCTTGAGGCCTTACTTATCTATGTATCAATACTCAGCATGAATCATAAACTGTACATGAAATTTTAATAGCGATAAAAAATATATAATTTTCCCAATATAGTTCCAATAGCATGAAATGGAGAAACAAATAAAAACTAACTTTACAATTAAGTATATACAGCTGTGAATAAAGAATGAGGATGTTGTCTACAGAATAATTTTGAGAATATATGGTCAACTTGACAAAGAAAATTATAGAAGACCATACACACCATGCTCCTTTGAGTGAAAGAAAAGCAAATAAGAAAACATACTGAGGGCCGGCCAAATAACTCAGTAGATTAAAGCACCTGCAAGCAGGCGCAGGGCCAGGGGTTCAATCACCGGGCCCACCATGCCGACCCCACCCCGGGGCGCTCTAACATCGCAATTGAGGCTGGGCATGGTGGTGTGTGCCTGTAATACCAGCTCTTGAGTCCAATCTAGCAGCGAGACCCTGAACACCCTGTAGACCCTTCCCTAAAAATACAAAAAAAGAGAAAGAAACAAAGAAAGAAAACATACTGTATTTGATTGGATTTACAAAACAATAATAACAGGAAAGATAACATAGAAAGAGTCCCAGCCCAGGAGGCAGCGTGGGCCAGACCCTCTCCCAGCCCCTCGGGCTAGCCCCCACCACTCCGCAGTGCCTCCCCCACCCCACCCA